AAAAGTTTAGATGTACAAAGTTTGGGCTTTAGCAATCTCTGCCAGCTACGAAAGCTGTAAGTGCGGTATGAGCTAGGTTCATCAAACATAAAAGTAAAATAAATGCGTGCCACTGACTGCCTGTATTGTAGGCTCTACTGGCTCTACTAAGAACGAGTCGGGCACATGCACATTAAATATAGTATAACATTAATTCATTTGGCATACTAACTCCGTGCTGACCTCGATGGCACCTTGTTACTTGGAATGCTCTGAAGGTCAGGTCACTAACTAGTCAATAAATATCTAAACAGTTTAGGTAATCAATCTAGTTTTTTACATAAATTAGTTGGCGTCTTTTAGTATATTCTGTGTAAAGTGATTGATTAATTTTCTGACGATTATTTGTTCGTTATCGTAGTGTTTACGCTACATGAAATAAAATGGACATAGAAATTCGGTGTACTGAAATTCTATTTTCATTGTACAATGATTGATTTCTACCTACTACTACTGAGTGTGAGGCTAGTTCGTAGTTCTATTTAAGTTATATTGGTTATATTCCGAAATATAACTAACTGTGCCCCGCGGTAAAACGTAGCATAGGTGTTAACCGCCAATAAAAATCCAACTTGTTTTTTTATTCACAACGAGGAAGCTCTTGACCTGTATCTCACCTGATGGACAGTGATGATGAGAGTGAGACCTAAGGTAGAAGCGATCTTTGCCCGGAATCCTCAACCAGTTCAACCACAGAGGAATTGGCTATCTTACCTTCAAGCTCCAACTGTTCCACAACAATTCGGTTAACATTGTTATTTTGACGACAGACTTAGGACCGGATTCCACCAAGGCGAAGCGGTGCGGAGCGGATCAGAGAAGTTTTTTAAATACTTAACCAATTAGATTCCATTTGGACATCTTAACTCCGCTCCGCTTCGGTGGAAATGGATTTGAGCGGAGAAGTGTCGGGTGCATTTGTTTTTCTATAGAATTTACGGAGAAGAGCGGAGATGTGCGGAGCGGTGCGGTGTTTCATAGATAGCAATAGACTGACAGCTGACAGCTACGCACAGCTCAAACATCTCCTCTCGTCTCCGCACCGCTCCGCTCTTCTCCGCTCCGCTTTGGTGGAAATAGCCTGCCAGCTTTGCCGCATATCTCTCGGCTCCGCATTGGAAACCGGGTCTAAATATTGCTGTTTTCTTTGAACCCGGGCCTAAAAATTGCTGTTTTTTTTCCAGTCGGACGTGTCATCCAAAGATAGGGAGGTGAGCCACGACCAGCTGAAGCAGTGGTGCGACGACAACAAGATCGCCACGTACATCGAGACGTCGGCTAAGAACGACAACAATGTCGTGGAGGCCTTCTCGCTGGCTGTGCAAAGGTTTGAGACAGTTTTTTGTGCCATTTTAGATAAATAACATTAACTGGGGCCACACCATACGATATTACTGATCTGAGCGCGAGGCACTTAGGACGATTCAATCTAAATTGTTTGGAATGTTTAACTGCCCACCTCGCATCAATATTCAGATTATAGTAGTCATAGAAACTTTATAAATCTTTGAAAAAGTGGCTGACCAAAATTAGTTTCTTGCGCTGCTACTTATCAGCACTGGCCTATTTATTGTCCTGAAGAAGTGGTAGGATTATAGCAATATTTAGACGTGTAAAAGCGCTTTTTAAAAGCCTACATGCAAAAACGAAATGAGTTTTCAATGTGGACATGAGCGCGATCAGAGCGCAGTAGGTCGTCCGGTGTGAACCCGGCTATTATACCAGCCTAGGTTTCCAAAGAGGAAAGGGAAGAGATCCAACGCATCTCCGCTCCTCTCCGTATTGGTGAAAACCGGGCCTCAGACATTTTCAGGGCCGTCTTTAACCTACTAGGGGCCCTGGGCATTTAAGGATTAAGGGGGGCCCTTATAGGGTTGCCAAAGTGCCCAGTGGGAAAGAGGGGCCTGGACATTTTACGTTTGCGTCATCTAGGTGTCCCGAACCAAGCAAAACTTGTACTATTTTTTTACTTTTACACTTGTGCACATGCACCACTAGTCCAGACAGCTGCTTTAAATGTCAATGTGTTCTACTTTTTATGCCGAAGACTTGGGTACAGTCAGCGTCAAATAATTCGTGACACCCAAAGTGGCCAAAACAATTACAAGAACACAGTCATCTTTATTCTAATTGTAACAAAGACGTGTTGCGAACTTTTTGGCTACTTTGGGTGACACCCAATGGGTGTCACGAACTAATTGACGCTGACTGTACACATTGAAGGTCTTTGCCAATGTCATGGGCAAGTTAGGTGTCATTGTTTGAGTTATAAAGGTTGTATTTATCATACGCACACAATACATTTTTGCTGTGTCAAGGGCGTATCGTTTGAGTAAAATTGTATAGGCAACTTCATGATCTCTCAATTAAGCTGTTGGAGTGGTAACTGATAAGTTAATATTTTTGAATTAACTTATTGAATTCTCTTTGTTATTCTTAATGAATATTTCCAAAGTTAATTGTAGAGTCGACTGTATTATTATTATATCTCGTTTAATGTAATTACATTAGAATATTCTAAATTAGAATAAAAAACATTCTACTACACACAGACCTAACCCCCATATAAAAATCACAGCACAGGAATCAGAACAATTGGAATTAAGAATAGAATCAAGAAAATAGTGATTTTCTAAATAACCCTCGTGATCTCTTGCTTCGCGCATAGTTTTCTTTTGAGCACTATGGTGAAATTTGAGTTCAATCAATGATTCTTTGCTTGGAACTACGCTATATTTAAGTGAGTTGTCGCAAGAAGTTTTCTTGAGCTACCCATCTCTACTAAAGCAAAAGCGCCTAATACCATTCCCTATTGCGCGCCCTCATGGCCAGTAGACTGACCTAGCTCACGGTGACACCAGATTGTATGTAACTCGCCTTTAAACCTGTCTGACACTGTCTGATCAAACAGTCTCGACCAGAAGGGCGCGCAATCCTCATCACGCATTGGTTCCCGCTGAAAACCAGCTTCTCGGCATGACGTTTGTGTCATGTCGCGATTTTTGCTGAGCGGGCGCCTATTCAGCATGTTTTTATTTATTTTTTATGTTTACTCTTGCTATGTATTCCTTGTGCTGAATAAAGACATTCTTATTCTTATTCTATTTGTCCATCTCCTCTTCAATTATTCTTTAATCTTCCAGGTGGGTAGAATTGGAACAGAAGGCAGAGAAAGAGCTAGGCATGCTCCACCATCCAGACACAGTGACGCTACACGGCGCAACCACCGCCTCCTCGCTGCGGTCCACGTGTTGTTCCCGATTCAGCGACGCGTGAGTCGATGATTGATGCCGGATAATCGAGACTTAATCGATTAACCCCAAAGTCCCAAAAAAATCATAGGTTGGTAAAGCCCGGTCTGTGAGCACGTAGAATTTTGCCCATGTGCGAGCGCGACAGCAACATAATTACGCACGAGCGATAAGGATGGGTAGCTTGGGGTCATTGGACAAAATTCTACGTGCTCGCAGACCAGACTATAGTATTTTGTAAACTTGATATGGTTTAGACGCTGTCATTTTGCGTTTCTTAAACCACTTACGTTAGAGCAGGATTCTCTTACTGACGTTCTTATTGGAACAATCGATGCGAAATGCAATTTCCTAGCAAATGGCATCTACATAAAACAAAACTTAATAGACCCAATATACTGAACTATCCCTGCTGGTTCCGATTTTTGCCATGTTGGAAACTATGTAGTTAAACGCTGGTGGCGCCCCCCTGTCAGGGAGAATAGTGTTAGAACTTGCGTTACATAATTTCAAACTGTTTCGTTTGTTCTACTCGTGTCAACACTGTGGTTTCTGTAATCGATTATGTTGAAAGATTTGGGGTGAACACTATTGTCTATGATCGATTATTCTGCAAGACGACATTCCGAGTCTCGATCGAATAAAAGGTCCAACTAGTTTCGTATTGTTTGAAAGTATTTTACTAACGGCCGAATACTGAAACGCCATTTAANTTTTCCATCATACACAAGAATACGCGTTCGTGAGTCAAAGTTCGCTCGTATGTGAGGCCTTGTCGAATAGTACTCCTGTAGGGGGCAATCGTGCGTGTTTTGTTTTCGATGTAAACTCGCGGAGATGAACAGGCCTGCTACTACTGAGTGCGAGTTTAGTTCGAAGTTCTATTTAAGTTACGAGTAGGTATATTGGTTACGTTCCGAAAAGTAATTCTGATGAAATCTAAGATTTGTCTAAGGAATTTGTCCGCGCCGGTATAGGTACCTGCCTAGAAACCTGATTTACTCTAACGATGTCTAGATACCCTGGTTCTTCTGTGTTATCTGTCTTATGAAATGATCAAATACCCCACCTCTCGTTCCCACCGCTTCGACTGCTGTGTAGCCAGGATCTACAGCTTGACCGCCGATAAAAACCCAACCTGTTTTTTTATTAATCTACAACGAGGCTCTTGCATCTGTATCTCACCTGATGGAAAGAAGATGATCAGACCTAACGTGGAAGCTTCGACTGTAATCCTCAAGTTGAGGAACTGGCTATCTTACCTCCAATACCTCCAACTGCTCTGGCAGTTCGACACAATAATGCTGATAACATTGTTATTATTATGGCGATAGACTTAGGCCCAGTTTCTGCCAAGGCGAAGCGGTGCGGAGCGGAGCAGAGATGTATTTTTAAATAACCAATTAGATTCCATTATTTGGACATCTTAACTCCGCTCTGCTTCGGTGGATATCGATTTGAGCGGAGAAGTGTCGGGCGCATTTGTTTTTCTATAGAATTTGACGGCGGCGCGGTGCGGTGTTTCATAGATAGCAATAGACTGACAGCTGACAGCTACGCACAGCTCAAACATCTCCTCTCGTATCCGCACCGCTCCGCTCTTCTCCGCTCCGCTTTGGTGGAAATAGCCAGCCAGCTTCGCCGCACATCTCTCGTCTCCGCAGCGCTCCGCCTTGGAACTCGGGCTTAAAGATTGCTGTTTTTTTCCAGTCGGACGTGTCATCCAAGGATAGGGAGGTGAGCCACGACCAGCTGAAGCAGTGGTGCGACGACAACAAGATCGCCACGTACATCGAGACGTCGGCTAAGAACGACAATAATGTCGTGGAGGCCTTCTCGCTGGCTGTGCAAAGGTTTGTAACAGTTTTTGTGGCTTCTGAATAAATAACATTAAGGACCGGTTTCCACCAAAGGATAGGAGATGTTTGAATATTCCGAGCCGAAGCTGAGTGAGCTGAGACTGGAAATAACAAAATCTGATTGGTTATTAAAACCAGTTCCTCCGTGGTTGAGGATTCCGGGTGAAGCTCGCTTCCACCTTCGGCCTTATCACTTACCATCAGGTGAGATACAGGCCAAGAGCTTCCTCGTTGTGGAAAAAAAATCTCCTCACCTCTCCGTTTTAATGGATAACGGGCATAACTAAATCCACAGTTACACCCTCAGATCATAGCTATGATCTGAGGTTACACCAGATGATCCACCAACTGAATAAACATACGCGCACGATCAAATGTGCATATGCTCGCGATCGGAGCGCAGTGGATCGTCCGGTGTGAACCCGGCTAATAAACCCGGTTTATCCCCAAAGCAGAGAGAGGAAAGAGATCCAACACATCTCCTCTCCGCTTTGGTGGAAACCGGGTTCTTAGACACAAGTCTAGGTGTCCTAAACTAAGCAAAACTTGTACTATTTTTTTACTTTTACACTAATGCACATGCACCACTAGGCCAGACGGCCGCCTTAAATGTCAATGTTTTCTACTTTTTGTGCCGAAGACTTGGGTACAGTCAGCGTCAAATAGTTCGTGACACCCAAAGTGGCCAAAAATATGACAAGATCACATCTTAAAGCTAAGCGTCCACTTGTCGGTATCGTACGCAACGAACTCATCGTACGAAACACATCGTATCGGATGTGCGATGCGTACGATGCGGACAGATGGACGCACTTAGGTAGGATATGAGTTTCTATATAAATAATACTACGATCCGTGTAACAAAGACGTGTTGCGAACTGTTTGGCTACTTTGGGTGACACCACAGAATAATAATAAGTACTGTGACACCCAATGGGTGTCACGAACTAATTGACGCTGACTGTACACATTGAAGGTCTTTGCCAATGTCATGGGCAAGTTAGGTGTCATTGTTTGAGTTATAAAGGTTGTATTTATTATACGCACACAATACATTTTTGCTGTGTCAAGGGCGTATCGTTTGAGTAAAATTGTATAGGCAACTGCATGATGATCTCTCAATTAATCTGTTGGAGTGACTGATAAGTTAATATTTTTGAATTAACTTATTGAATTCTCTTTGTTATTTTAATGAATATTTCCAAAGTTAATTGTAGAGTCGACTGTATTATTATTATCTCGTTTTATGTAATTACATTAGGATATTCTAATTAGAATAAAACATTCTACTACACAAACCTAACCCCCATATAAAAATCACAGCACAGGAACCAGAACAATTGGAATTAAGAATAGAATCAAGAAAATTAGTGATTTTCTAAATAACCCTCGTGATCTCTTGCTTCGCGCACAGTTTTCTTTTGTGCGCTATTGTGAAATTTGAGTTCAATCAATGATTCTTTGCTTGGAACTACGCCATATTTAATCGAGTTGTCGCAAGAAGTTGAGTTACCCATCTCTACTAAAGCAAAAGCACCATTCCCTATTGCGCGCCCTCATGGCCAGTAGACTGACCTAGCTCACGGTGACACCAGATTGTATGTAACTCGCCTTTAAACCTGTCTGACACTGTTTGGTCAAACCGTCTCGACCAGAAGGGCGCGCAATCCTCATCACGCATTGGTTCCTGCTGAAAACCAGCTTCTCGGCATGACGTTTGTGTCATGTCGCGATTTTTGCTGAGCGGGCGCCTATTCAGCATATGTTTTTATTTATTTTTTATGTTTACTCTTGCTATGTATTTCTTGTGCTGAATAAAGACATTCTTATTCTATTTGTCTAACTCCTCTTCAATTATTATTTAATCTTTCAGGTGGGTAGAATTAGAACAGAAGGCAGAGAAAGAGCTAGGCATGCTCCACCATCCAGACACAGTGACGCTACACGGCGCAAGCACCGCCTCCTCTCTGCGGTCCACGTGTTGTTCCCGATTCAGCGACGCGTGAGTCGATGATTGATGCCGGATAATCGAGACTTAATCGATTAACCCCAAAGTCCCAAAAAAATCATAGGTTGGTAAAGCCCGGTCTGTGAGCACGTAGAATTTTGTCCAATGTGCGAGCGCGACAGCAACATAATTACGCGCGAGCGATAAGGATGGGTAGCTTGGGGTCATTGGATATAATTCTACGTGCTCGCAGACCAGACTATAGTATTTTGTAAACTTGATATGGTTTAGACGCTGTCATTTTGCGTTTCTTAAACCCCTTACGTTACAGCAGGATTCTCTTACTGAGGTTATTATTGGCACAATCGATGCGAAATGCAATTTCCTAGTAAATGGCATCTACATAAAACAAAACTTACGTATAGACCCAATACACTAAACCAGCGGGGACAGGTTTTTGCCATGTTGGAAACTATGTAGTTGAACGATGGTGGCGCCCCCCTGTTAGTGGGAATAGTGTTATAACTTAACTTGCGTTACATTATTTCAAACTGTTTCGTTTCTTCTACTCGTGTCAACACTGTGGTTTCTGTAATCGATTATGTTGAAAGATTTGGGGTGAACACTATTGTCTATGATCGATTATTCTGCAAGACGATATTCCGAGTCTCGATCGAATAAAAGGTCCAACTAGTTTCGTAATGTTTGAAAGTATTTTACTAAGGCACATAATGTTAAGATGCAAATTAAGTAGTTGATACCAATCAATCAATTAATTTTATCGACACACCTTATTTAAAAATCTATCCCATAATGTCATTAACGGTTCAATTTGAACTTTGACAGTTCTACTGTGTCGTTTTCGTTATTCGATTGGTTGTGTCAACTACTCTATTGTCCAATGTTGCTAGTTTAAAAAATAAATGAAAATGGGACTACTCTGGATTGATATTTTTATCTATATTTCTAGTTATGCGTTAGGTGCTTATTTAATTGATCAGCATAATAAATATGAAACTCATTTAGTTTTTAAGTTCACATTAAATTAGGTACTTAATCGTTTTTGAGGAACAATTTGCATTTTTTAAGTCTCACGTTTTGATAGGCTATTTTATTGGTTTCTAAAATATTAATTTATTAATGTTATGGAACCCATAAGGTTAATTTTTGTAGCAGTAATCAGCACATAATTTACAAAAATACTACATATAGGTGTCGAATTTTTTAATGTTGTCAAATAGACTATGCAATGTCCCTCATAATTTAAAATGTAGATATTCTATCGATTTCAATTGATTAAAATCTGGTCCGTATTGGTCTGGGTCTGGTTGATATTGCTGTCGCGACTGTGGGACGGGCGCCCGCAGTGAGTGTGCGAGCGTGACAGTAACATAATTACGCGCAAACGATAAGGATGGGTAGCTTGGGGTCATTGGACAAAATTCTACGTGCTCCCGGACCAGACTATAGCATGTTTAAAGTAATTAAATAGCATTGCTTTGATTTCTTGTAAATTTTGCAGATAATTATTAATTTTCATTATATCGTTGTAAATATGCTTTCCATTTGTTTACCTCAATGACGCTTGATTTCGCCGTCCATTTATATCTTCAATTTAATGATTCAGATGCCTCGAAAGTTTCGCTAGATAGATATTAATGTTACTTAAATATTTATGTAGATTCTCACGCCTGTAGATTAAACACTATATTATTTACATAATTTTATCATAATTATTGTTATTGGAATTCCAAAAAAATAGAGGCAGTTTTTTAAAATCGAAATAATAAACATTTTACATACTTATTGACACTACTTTTATTTAAATCTGTTAAATTATTTTGGTAATCAGTCCTTTACTTTAATTTTAGACATTACTATTTACTTGTTTAACATATAAAAGTGACCAATATTTTGAGACCCCACGAAAAAGACGTTTTGGTTGTGGCTTTGGTTGAATTAAGTATGCATTTATTTTTATAACTTTACTAAATAATTTATTTCCAATATTAATTGCTTATTTATACTCGTATATAATGCTGCATTTGCTTCAGCTCCAGTAGGCTATTTTTCCTGTATACTTATTTATGCTTAACTTTACAATGAAGGAAAGAGCTAAACTGAGTCTTAATTTTAAACTTAAGATAATAAATACGTAGACTAATGTATAAAGTTGTACGCACCCTTAACTCTCTGCATTTTACTACGCTGCTATTCTAAAAATAGTAATTTGCTTTGTAAATGTGACTCTTTTGAAATATTGCTACTAATATTTGAACTGTATAAAATGGGAACCAAAGAAAATATTCCTTCCTATGTTAAATTATTATTTTTAAGAATAAGAATTGCCTTTTCCTCCAATAAGTCAGCTACCTAAGAATGTATCTACTAATAGTTTTGTGTTTTCAAATATACAAGTATAGCGGCCTATATTATAGTTATTGGTAGATAGTAAAAAATCGTGCCCCATTTTATTTGTGTTTCAAGGAGTAAATTAAGATTGTAAAGATTGCATTCCAAACTTCATATAAGTGTGAATTTTGGCGCAAAAGTGTGCGGACTCCGCCTCTACTGTATAGAGAATACGGTTTATACTACTTTGATCACTGTAGGCCTAAGATGCGCATCGCGATAAGCGTTTATCACGCCATTTTATCGATTTTACTCGATAAGCCCATACATTTGTCGTCTAAAATCATCCATAAGATTTTATCACGGCGCGCATCCTAGCCCGGCTGGGCGATTTAATCCACTTGATCAAAGTGGACTTCTTATCCAAGGACACCACGTCAGTTTCGCCTGGAGTCCACTTTGGTGGGTAATCAAATCCAGGTGATCAAAGTGGAATAAACCGAAAATACGTAGATTTTAGTATGTAAATATGCACAAATGTTTAAATATACTTCACAGTTTAAAAGTCGCATTCAATTTTAAATAGAGTATCTAACAGTCGGATCGATTTTCTAAGACATATCTAAAATATGAAAAGATAGTACCTAAATGTTTGCAAAAAATATGAAGACTACTTATATACCTTAAGCGAATTATTACAATTGCATTCCTAAGTAAATATTACGAAATAGGTGCTTACATGTAAAGACTTACATATTGAGAAAGTTTAATCTTAAGTCTTGTTAAAACTGCACCATGTTTGGAATCACAGATCTAATAAATATTGTTGTAGATTTATCAGCGGTTTGTGATCTAATAATATTAAGTTCAACTTATTTAAATGGCAATTCATTCACATTCTGTAGAATGCATTTTCGCTAAGTATTATTTCCAATATTTTAGCGTAGTTTCACGCATCATGATCCCAATCAATTATTTGTCATTAAACAAGGTGATTCACTTCTATTTATTTATTTATAGAACTTTATTGCACAATAAAAATCATACAATGGGTAGACTTAATGCTATTGAAGCATTCTCCTCATATATTTTCATAAACGGCGCTCTACCCTAAAAAGATAGGAAGTTTACATTGTACGTGAGCTTATTTTAGTCTTAACTTGTTACTGGGTCACAGTAAGCTTAGCTGCAGACCACAGACTTTCATACAAATTAGAATCGGGTCCAATTATCGGCCGACTAAAAGTCAAATCAGCCTGCGGCTAGGTTAGCCATTCCTTCCATCATCAATCATGATTTATATTGCTAGATCCACACACTTGCACATTCCTATTTCATACTGCCCGTCACCAAGTGCCTAGCTTCATAGTGAGCTATTGAATTGTTAATTAGGCGTTGTAATGATTAAATGTTTAAGGAAACACCGTTAAACTTAAACTACATGGAAGTTAACCCATGAAAAGTAATTATTTACCAAGTATTCTAAAATATCTGAACCTTATAGCTACCTCCATAGGATCTGGTGATGATAACAATTCCTTTAGATAAGACCCAATAAAGACAATTAAGTATGTACAGTCAGCTTCAAATACTTACTTTGTGACATCCAAAGTAGCCAATAAGGCGGTTATCACACTGCGTCGCGCTCCGTCGCGGAGCGCGGGCGACAGATTTAATCATTGTATGCAAGTACCTCAGTTTGTATAGAAAACACGCGCGGCACTTCACACTGACAACGCGTCCGCGCGCGTGATTTTTTTATATGAAAATCACGCGCTCCGCGGCAGAGCGCGGCGCAGTGTGGTAACCGCCTAAGTTCACAACATGTCTTTGTTACAATTAAAATAAGGTTGTTGTCAACTTTTTGGTCACTTTGGGCAGAGTAAATTCAAATGAGTAGGTCATCTTCATAGAAACGCACGGGCGCACGCACACACTGACAAAATTCGGCGCAACCACGACTGGCTCCCCGCTAAATTTTGTCAGTGTGTGCGTGCGCGCTGCATACGTATATTGGCGCGCTCACATACAAACCGCACTCGGTGCGTTTCTATGAAGATGACCCAATCATTTTTATTTACTCTGCTTTGGGCGTCACGAACTATTTGACGCTAACTGTACACCGACAGCACATCAGGCTGTACATTTTTGTTGCTATATCGCACCTATTAGGGAGCATTCAAGTATTACGTAACGCAATTAGGGGGGGAGGGGGGGTCTCGTAAAACGTTACGATGCGTTACAGGGGCGGGAGGGGGTCTTTCTTACAAGACGTTACGTAACATTGTTTCTTTTTTTTAATAAAAATTTAGGGAATTAAAACTCCCAAATTGGCAACTCTTTTCGTTTACGTTTTACGGGGTATTTCAGTTGGGTTTCTGTTTATAATTGCATTCCCAAAGGTTAAAATAAACATGTTATGCGTTTTAAGAGTTTATTAGTAAAAAAAGCTAAAATAGGATAGGAATGACAGAGAAAAACAATTTATTGTGTGTGTGTAAAGCCAAACATTTATAGAATAGAAAAATAAACAAAATACGCAGGTGTTGCGGATTAAAAATATCTTGTTTTATTTAGTATGATTACCGCAAAAGCAATTAAAACTATACCAAGGACAAAAACTATAACATAACTTTTAGCGCCTTTTGGGCAAAATGGTCACTTGAGTGTTACGTAACGTTTAGAGAGGGGGAGGGTGGGTACAGAAAAACGTTACGGTGCGTTACAAGGGGGGGAGGGGGAGTCTAAAATCTTCAAAAATTGCGTTACGTAATACTTGAATGCTCTCTTACGAACTACATAAGATACCGGTTGATGTTCTTTTGTCTGTACTTGTTGAGTGCGCAGGATTCCTATTTCAAACAATATTATTTACTTATTAGACAAGACTTGTATTAATTGTGTAAGTAAAATAACTGTTACTTATATTGTATTTGTTCTTCTGGAATGATGCTTCATAATATTTTTATCAGGAAATAAATTATATTCCATGCTATTTTGTGTTTTATTTTGGCCAAGTCATCGAGTTTAGGCAACAGTAATACTAAAATGATCAATGTATCGACGCCTTGGTAAAAACCTCTTAGGTGTAAAAGACATATTTTTTAGGCTTTGAATCCAGAACTCTTAAATTCTTTAAGATTGACCGAATGCATTCTCGACGTTTTCACTCTGGCGACGATATGTAAAGTTTAAATGAAACGCATACTTATTACCCAAACATTTAATAAATAGGTGTATAAATTGTACGTCTTTGGAATTGCACTACACTAAAACTACCCACGTGTCTTACATACAGTAATATTTAGAAGGCACTGACGCACAAAATAATATGGACACGATTCTGAAGGTCACACTATCTCGAAATCTAATATAAATAAAACAGTCATAAAAAGTTATGAATTTATAAATAAGATTGACAGCAATTTAGTCGATTGAATTTGTTAACATATTCTCTATTTTTTGTCTAGTTTTGTCCTTTTTAATTCGTTAAGGAAAAAAGGGACAGAGATAGAAGCCTCACAGAATTGGGACCAATGTTTATAGTGCCCTGTCCATTAATTTTATTACATTTTATAATATTATTCCTACATATTTACCGTCTCGATAGTCACCTAAATAAATAAGATTAAAATTATTCTCAAATAAAATTCATAAACCAATATTGAAGGTGTAAGTACATAACTTATTTTGACGAATCCATAATCTTTTATTGTTATTTCGATCACACGATAATCGATTTCAGTTCAAAAACACCATCATATTAATGTCAAAACAAAAATATAACAAGTGGGAAAACCTAAAATTGAGTATTTAATTAATATTACGTGTATATTAAAAATAGCTTGTGCCCAGTCTCCATAGTCGGTTGTTGTTTCGAATAGTTAGATAATTAAAATTAAATCTACTTCATTTAAAACAATAATTTATATTATGCAAGATGACTGGAAATGAGCAAACATTGTAAGGGATTATAGTACAGGTCCTTTGCAACAAACAGGTTAAATTTTATACATATAATATTTCACTTATTATTACATTCGAGATAAAGATAACGTACACTTTGGGTATACATATTATGAAAATATTAAGGTACCTACCTACAGTAATAAAATTAAATATGATATACGACGAGTATGTAATCGTATAATAATAATTAAAAACATTCAACACAAAACAATATAATCATGCCATTAAGTTCTAATTACAACAGCTAAATTGCAAGTATTCTGATTGCCACCGCCAACGTTTTTATCTATGACTAAAACATGCCCTCAGACCTCAAAGATGACTGATGCAATGCATACACGATCTTCTGTTCTTACATACAAACTTAATTTTCGACAAACTATTACATGTCAAATATTATTTTAGAGCCAAAGCACACGATGCGTTGCGGTTGCGGCGCCGCAGATATTTCTATGTAAGACAACGCAGCTACACCGTTCCGGAGTCGCATCGCTGCCGCAACGCATCGTGTTTTGGCTTTAACGGCTCAATTGCGCCCGCGCATTCTTGTAAATGATTATTGTCAATTTGCCACAAAGTCGATTCGTCGCACTTGTAAGTTTCATACATTGAAAGTAAAATAATCGTCATAGACGCGGATAAGTACAGTGACCAGCACACCAGACTATACATTCCAAAATCGCCTCTATTACAAGTGCAAAAGATGCACAGAGTTTACCTACATGTGTCATCCGTACGTATCAATTTGCTCATAAATTATCTAAAAAGTGACGGATTCATTTTTTTTTAAAGATTATTAGTAATTTGTTATTTCACAAATCACTAAAACTCCCGCTCGGACTAAGCTAAATATGCTTGTGTCACGAGTGAGCTCACCACAATAGTCGCGCGGCGGCGGGGACCGAACCCGCGTTCCCCGGATCACGAGTCGGCCAGTCCGATCCCTTCACTGTTCAGCTATCGTGGCTTCATACATTTCCTGTGACGAGTCGACTCTGTGACAAGTCCACAATAACTCCTGGTATTAGCTAGTAGTTTAAGCAATAGGGATAGGTTTTCTAGCCTTGATCAGCTGTTCGGAGACCTCCCACAGCTTCGTCTCGACCTCCTTGTCGAAGGGGTACTTGGAATCGTACTCCGCGCACTCCCGATACATCTTACCGGTTTTACCTTCAATGCTGTAGTCACTGGCGCAGTACACCACTGTTTCGGAACCCTGGAAAAAATTTAAGTTTTTTTAAAATATTACAAGAAAATTTACAGCTGTGGGTATTTTTAACTGACTCCAATTGGAAAATCAAAAAAATCAAAATCAAAAATATTTATTCAGTTTAGACCACAAGTGGCACTTATGAACGTCAATAGAAAATAATAAAAAAAGAAATCGATCAATGTGGAAAGCATTAGGGGAGGCCTATGTTCAGCAGTGGACGTCCTATGGCTGACATGATGATTATGATGATGAAAAAAAGAAAAGTTAGCCCTTATGGGGCACTTTACATGTCTCCTTATCTTTTGGGCCCTACCAGCGTATCGAGACAAACATATGGCAAGTGCTGAGAAGAAACGCCGGAACATTTGAAAAGCCATTTTCACCTATAAGTCTAATGAATCAATCAAAACCGAAGCAAGCTATTCGTGAGCATATTATTAGCTCTTCGTTGTGATAATAGAAATTAGCAATTTTGTAAATATCCGAATTATTATATGTATATAGTCAATTTTGACTAAACTGATCTTAGATTCTATTGAAATACCCACTTTTAAAATGATTGCAACTCATTGGTATCCCTCCACAATCGAATAGATACTGGATTTTACTGAGTAGGTAAATAAGATGTTTTCACACCTTGTATAAACTCGTTTTAGCGAAAAAAGCGTCTTGTGTAAACGTAGCAAAGTCCTACTAATGACGCAAGTGTTTTAGTTCAAACAAAAACAAGCATAATACCAAAAAAAAATCTAAGAAAATTCAAGAGTTAGGACTCTTGAACTTTTGAGTCCTAACGATCGTTTGTGAAATTAACTGACCTGTTTAGCAGTCTTCATGAATAGCAGAAATACAGGCGCCATTAGAATGTAATGATACCATTTGATTGAGTACCTGAAAAATATTAAAAACCATTAATTAATAATATCTTAGCCTATTAATCATCGTTCGCTTCAGCCGAAAGACGTCCACTGCTGGACAAAGGCCTCCCCCAGGGATTTCCACGAAAACCGATCCTGCGCCGCTCGCATCCAGGCATCTTATTATTAATATTATTTAGCGCCATCTAGCGCCTAAACTACATAGTTAGGCCACGAGTATACAGTACAGTATACATTAATGTTGAAAAATAGTCCTTAATAGAAATACTTAGTTTACTTAGGGTGCCACAGTCTACATTGACTTGCAGTCGTCCTACATTGGCCATGTTAGGTACAGTCAGCGTCAATAATCCGAGACACCCAAAGTAGCCAAAGGTTGTGTTATCAACTTTTTGATATCTTTGGCTGTAACGAACTACTCGTCGCTGACCTTTACTGGAAAAGTATTATCATTCTTCTTTTCTATCCACTGGATTACACACCAATTTTGGGCTTATTCCACTATTATACCTAACTAGCTTTCCGCCCGCGGCTTCGCCCGCGTGGAATTTTGTCTGTCACAGAAAAATTTCATCGCGCGCGTCCCTGTTTCAAAAACCGGGATAAAAACTATCCTATGTTCTTTCCCGGGACTCAAACTATCTCTATGCCAAATTTCATCAAAATCGGTTGCGAGGTTTAAGCGGGAAAGCGTAACAGACAGACAGACAGACAGACAGACAGAGTTACTTTCGCATTTATAATATTAGTTGGGATTGGGATATAACGGGTCATTAATCCCCGTAAAACTTTTTAGTTCAATATTCCCCATTATAAGCTCCAATTGGCGTTAACGGGGATATTGTCAACGGGGAATAGTGGAATAAGCCCAATTTTGAAGATCAAGGAGTTTCTTTTCAAATATCCTGCAGTGCCAAGGCTATTCTGGTACATTTGACTCAGTCAGCCTGAGGTATGGGATCGGAGGGGTGTTGACATATTATGTCGAGACAGGGTATACAAATCTGTGGGTCTAGACAAAGTGCAAATTATAATCGCACACCAGTCGATAAGTGGTCGAAAAGCCCCTTTTTTGTATGGAGTTTTGACGGATTCGATTTTCGATTCGATCAAAAAGTGCGTTTTGTCTAGGGGTGCTGATACCGCAGGCAGGCACTGACTGAATTGAGCGCTAGAAGTCAAACTATACGTCATCATAAATAAATAAATTCATTTACGTTTGAAAAACGTGTTGTAAACATAAAAATATGTTTTTTATTTTTTGCATAAACAGAGGTTTGCAGCAATGTTTTTCTGTACGTCATGTTGTTGTAAAATCTGTAGTATGTTAAACTTCACAGAAGGTAGAAATAACAAACAAAGTCGAACTATTGTTTATCGCGTATTAATGAAATATTTTTATTTATTTATTTCTTTATGTACCTATCTAGTATCTTGTCAGAACACGTTTTTAGTCAGCCGAGCCAAATACAAAAATCTTAGGTACCTACTTTGTTGTAAGTTTAAGTACCTACCTACCTAAGATTTTAAAAAATCATGTTCGCCTATAAACTTCAACAATTTTGCAAAAAAATAATTTTATTCCCTATGATGAATAGAATCTTCAAAATCAATTGTAAACTTAAATTAAATTTTTCTTCAAATGGTATTTTATCAATTCTTATTTTAAACTGCTTAAAAATATTGTCGCGGACTGCACATTGTAGGCATTATGTATGTACCTACCTACTTACAAATGATAAAATTCCCATTAAAAAGTACTTTGTAAATAAAATGATGGCAGGTGTTTTGACTTTTGGTGATAAAATGTAAATTATCCATTTATCAAGCATTAATTGCTTACTTTGGGGCTAGATATTTATGACTATCTGTAAGATTCATCAAAGTACTCATTAAGTCATATCATTTTAATTTTTTTGCTCCTTAAATATTTATAGATCTTATCATTAATACACTATACAGGGTGTTAGGTAATAAATGGGTACCTATATGAGCCGACACTAGCATATAAATGGTATGGTGAAGTCAGAGAACTGATATCATAATTGGGTATTTGACACCATTCGCCAATAATTCTAAACCACAACTTTTTTAAAAAGACACTTCTTTCTGGTCTTAAAAACTTAATTAATTTTTAATTACCTGTAAATTACGATTTTTGGTTGCATTATAATTGAAAAAAGTAGTTTCATTGAGTTGATAAAATTGTGACGTCACATGCTAGTATTGCCGTACAAAATCTATGGGAGAGTCTCGTTTTGACAGTTTTAAAAAGTACGTCAATTGATTGGTGGTGTCAAATACCCTATTTTAATTATTTTAATTTTCATACAAATCTGATTTTAATGGTTAATTTTTTTTTGTTTTGTATGAACATTTAAAAAAATAAAATGATGATATCAAGTTTCTGACTTCACCATACCATTTATGTTAACACTAGCTTTTGCCCGCGGTTTCACCCGCGTGATATTTAGTATGTCACAGATCGTCATAAATTATAGCCTATATGTTAATCTGGGTTATAAACAGTAATACTGTAAAGGATCAACAAAATCCGTTCAGCAGTTTTTGCGTGAAAGAGTAACAAACATTCAGACATCCAAACATTCAGACATCCAAACATCCAGACATCATGACATCCAAACTTTCGCATTTATAATATTAGTAGGATGGCCCATTTACCTAACACCCTGTAGATGCATAATAATAAACTTATTTACCTTATTTATTTATAAGGTATTGCAAATTATACATATAATTTATTAATATGTAGGGCTGCTATTTTATATCCCACTAAAGAAGGAGCGATTTTTAAAATATACTAACATTACTCGTACAACATTTGTAGGTATCACACCAGTTAGTTGTTACGTATATCGCATCTATATTCGGTGCACGTACATCGCACTACAAAACACAGCATACCTAAATACACACAAGGTCGATCTGAACGTAATCAAGCTGATCTACTTGTATGTTTATTGAGCTATGTAAATTATCATTGTGAACAAAATAGTTAGTTGCTCTTAACTACTTCAGATAAAGAGCATTTTAATTGTCGCCCTTATCGCGGAGCGTGATTTTTATATTTGGCGTGTTTCTTTCTTAGAGATCGCTTTGTATAGAAATTAGTATTTAGTAGTGCGAGCCAAGACACTTTACTTTGATACCTCTTTTTTAATTTGGAATTCGAATCGAATGCTTTAAAAATACGTCTGCTGCGTGTGCGCCGAAACAACGTTGTGGTTTGATGTTTTCGAATACTTCTACGTTTTACTTGCGTCAGTTATATGCCATTTAACCCGAACTGAGCTCAAGATAGTGTTGGAATTTTTAAATCTGGAGGACTCGGTTTTGATTTCTAGGCAGATGACACATGCTTTAAAAATAACTTGGATTAATTGTTACTAATTCAGTTAGGCATTGCAGTCTTAAATCAACATTCTTATCCAAAAAACGCGAAATAAAAACTTATTTATAGGAAGGGGGACTACCTTTTGTTAAGATGGATAGAACAACTAGACCAAGTTGTTAGCAGTGAAGACAAGCAATAATAATAACTCACCTAAATAAGCTAGTATAGCAGAATCCAGGGCAGCAAGAACTAACGTCAATGCCGGTCCCTTTCAGCCGATCTGCCAGCGCTCTCATAAAGTAGCAATTCATCAGCTTAGTGTTCTGGTATGCAGTAATGTGACGGCCACGAGTCTTGCCCTGCTTCGCCTCCTCGATTTCAGCTCTTGAGTTCAAGTCGTTAAAGTTTATTTCACCTTTTTCATGCAGCGTTGACGACACTATAACGATTCTGAAAATGTACATAAATTATAATCAACACGTTTTTTTTGTTATTGTCATGTTATTCAACGAGTTTTTATTTAAATGATGTACAATTACTACATTACTATGTAGTATTACCTACTGCTGTCATGCAAAAATTTTTAAAACCAACAATTTGTTTATTTATACGGTTTGGCTTATATTCATATGGTTTTTCCAATCAATTATTATTAATTATCATCTTATCCAATTTCAACATCTTTCATAATCATTATTAGTAGTTAATGAGATTGTTAATAGTAATTATTAAATGCCTCAAACTCCTAATTCTTTGGAATGATTATTAAAAAGATAATATCGATAATCCTTTATTTATATTATACTAGCTTTTGCCCGCGGCTTCACCCGCGTGAAATTTAGTTTGTCACAGATTGTCTTAAATTATAGCCTACTAGCTTTCCGCCCGCGGCTTCGCCCGCGTGGAATTTTGTCTGTCACAGAAAAACTTTATCGCGCGCGTCCCTGTTTCAAAAACCGGGATAAAAACTATCCTATGTTCTTTCCCGGGACTCAAACTATCTCTATGCCAAATTTCATCAAAATCGGTTGCGAGGTTTAAGCGGGAAAGCGTAACAGACAGACAGACCCTACCGATTCGAAGATTGAAAGACAATCCCCCCCCCCCCGTATCATGAAATAGACCGCAGATAGATGTGCCAGTGAGTACTAATCTGCGCGACTTGCGTCACCCCCTGATGCTTGGCACCCGGGGCGGACCGCCTCCCCCTTACGCCGCTACTGGTCTCTTGTCTAGGTAAATACGCTTAACAATAAGCTTACCTGCTGGGAGAGCCTTTCTTCAGATGTTCAATTAGAAGCTGTGTCAAGTAGAAATGTCCCAAGTGGTTAACACCAAAATGTATTTCAAAGCCTTCTTTGGTTTTCAAATCCAGTTTCAAAGGCACAGCCACACCGGCATTGTTGATAAGTACGTCTATTTTGTAGAAGCCAGCCTTTATAACTTCTACAAACTTCTCGATGGATTCAAATGATGCTAGGTCTAGCTGCATGGGAATCTGAAATGTTTTACTTGATAAAAATTTTAATAATCCTTTATTTAAGACCCACCGACCCAGTTTGTTGGTAAGTAATAACAACAACAATATTCATGGTGACAATTTTGTAGTGTTAGTAAATTTTGCAAATACAAAGAGTCCCATTAACGCCTCCAGCTAAATATTATGCTTGTTGTTAGGAGTGGGTTCACCACAATAATCCTGTAGACGACGGGGTTCGAACTACAGACCGTCAAAATATTATATTGTTTGATTCTACTACTAATAAAATACTCACGAGCTCTCCACCATAAGGCTGCTCCTTCCGTATACCGGCAATCAAAGCCTTTGCCTTCGCGACGTCTCGGCACGCCATTATAATCCGCGCCTTTCTTTTCACCAGGGCCTTTGCTGTCTCTAGCCCAATCCCACTGCTGGCACCAGTGATCAAATAAGTCTTGCCCCGCAAGCAAGTATTACTCCTACACTTAGCCCAATTCCTGGACCTCCATTTGCGCAGTAACCCTATCGCAACCAGCACAGAAATAGGGACCGCAGCGTAAATAACTGATGGAGCCACCATTTTATTTATTAAACTAATTACGTCTTATTTATTATTCACTAAATAATATTATTTTCCACTGAAAAGTAACACGACCAACCACTACGAAAATGAAACACAAATGTCAATGAAATGTCAATCGTTCAAAGGTCAAAGACTTTTCGTTCAGAAATGTCCTACTGTTGATAGAATAATTTAATGGATGCGTTCACTCAGCGTCAATATTATAAGGCGAGTGGCCGGTTTGAATCGCGTTTACGCGCGAAATATTTAAAAAACTTCGCGATCATACCGAAGTTTGTTAGATGAATTTCGCGTACCTACGCTTTATTCAGTTGCAGAAGATTAGCAGATATTGTATAATAATATGTATTAGATACATACAGTGATTTCGAGAATGCAAAAGTTTATAAATGATAAATAAATAAGTAGGTAGAACCTATACCTACCTACTTAGGTTGTTTTTCCTAAATCAAATCAAATCAAACTATCATTTATTGTGTTAGTAGTAAAAGTAACTAGTTAATTTATTATATTTTAATACTGTAGGTAACATTACCCCTAAACTAAAAAATGAGCCTAGCGCTCACACACACGAATTTATTCGAATCTTTAACGAATGTACGAAGCTTTTGTGCTTTCAAAAATCTGTCGGAACGGGGTAGGTATCGGAATTTGTGATCTTTATTTGTTGCTACTTATAATGCTAATGGCGATGTAGGTTACTTATCGTGGCCCATGGCATTGTTAAATTAATATTAACTTTGGTTTTAGTTCTACAGCTCGTTTGACGCATATTTAGTTCCTTTCCTACCCTCAGACCCTCTAGGTACTTGAGTGCTGTTATAGGTACTAAAACCAAGTTCTTAGGTATTTTTTATAGATAGTTCTTAGTACTTTTGAGCTTTATGTAGTAGTAAGTATTATGTTATGTATCTCTCGATTAATCAGGGTTTTAAAAATAAAAACAAAAGTATTTTATAGCAGGGCCGTTTATTTGAAATACATAAGGGATAACTAGATAAAAAATCTGTAATCCAGACTATGAAAAACAATTGATATGGCAACATCATGAATATTATGTATGAAATATCTTTACGAGGCGTTTACACGTAAATATTTATAGTAGGTATAGTAGATTAATTCGAAAACGTCTAAATTATAATATTTACGATAGAATATTAGAAAACATTTAATTAATGCAGCTTTATTAATACAAAGATTAACATTTATCGTCATTTAGCATCGCTGACGCCGATTAGGTACGGGAATTACATTTATTTTCATTAACATTTAGTACAAAAAATATTAGATTTAAAAACCAGCCTGTATAGCGAAGTTTATAATGATTTACACTTTTACTAAATTAATTAAGTAGTAATAATAGTTTATTTATAAGTAGGCATTAAATAAGACAAAAGAATAGACGAACAACCAAAAAAAAAATCAAATGCATTATGTGTTGATCAATAATAATCTAAATATTCGTACAAACAGACAATAATATAATGTTTCGCTATGAAGTAGGTATTGATAGGTTTGGGTATTTAAAGTCGTAGAAAAGGTAACAGACATACATTTAAAAACATTTTTTGTGTATTCCATGATCTGTAATTTGGCTGCTTAACAATAACGAAGCACGAGATACAAATTTCATTAATTTTCATTGGCACAAGTAATTACAAAAATATGATAAGTTTTGTGCCTGTAAACAACCTCATATGAATTTTACGATTATTTTCTCTCCAGCCTTCTAACATTTATCACCGACTCATTGCCCTATTTTGTTTTAAAATAAATTTAAAATTAACGCCATCTTTTGCAGGAATGTTGAAGTATAGGTACCTCAGATCATACTATGATCTGAGATAGGTACAGTCGTCAGTAAAAGTGTTTCAGACAAATCATTTTACAGGTATTAAATACCCTCGATTATGGAACATTCAGTCGATTTTCAGATTAATTATTTAAGTTAAATAGTTACTAAGATGAAAACAGCTTTACTACTTGTAACAGGTTGTGGAATGCGGTTCTAGGTCCCTACTACAGCATACTGATAATAATTACCAAACATAATTAATAAATTAGTGTTTTGTCAATCTCTATCTAAAGACAAACACTATATTTTTCTCGCAAGAACATGCATTTTATAAGCATCTTTGTATAAAAATCACTCTTTATATGAACAATAATAATTAAATAAAAGCATACTCGAATCTATTTCTTCGTTTAAAAAAATTCTAAATACATTATTCTGTGCCACAAACCGGCATGTAACATTATTAAGTATACCTTGATTATAAATATTTATAAATAAATGCTTCAGTTACAAAAGAATGTACTTTTTATAACATGCGTCACAACATTGTATATTTTTTTACTTAAAATAAGTGAACATTTATTTCAACGAGAAAACAACAATCATACTTGTAAGCACTAAAATTAGGAAACATTCAGTTTAGACAAGATTATGGATCAAAGGCAATTCAAAAATAAATACATAATGTTAAACATTTTGCTCTCGATTGTACTTCATCGCTTCTGTTATGTAATTTATTTTTTGCGTTTATGTATCTATGATTTGATCTTAGACTTTAATTACATTATCTAAAATAATTACAATTTAAGGGCACATTAAACGTTACATCATTCACACACGAGATTCAGGGAGAGTAAAATATTAAATAAAACCGCCACGTGGCGATTTCGCAAGTAAGGGCATATACGACGATGATTCTCAGAGCATCATACACGCTCGTGACTGCCCTTGACAATAAGTGCGTCTGCGTTTGCCAGATATTACCTACTACATAAGTCTTTCACATAGGAGTAGACAACTGGTGTCGCGACCGGTCTATGCCCACGTCCACTGTCACCGCTTTGCCGTCTACCGGCGATCCACTATCCATTTCACTATCAGGCATGATTATACACATAAACGACCGGCCACTGGTCACATCTTTAGGGTAAATAGTCATAGGGATGAACCTATCGCTGGTGCCGTCGACGTACGCCGCCAGCCTCGAGTAGACTTCGGGGAAGTGCTTCTTCATCGCGACCCCTCGCTTCTCGAGCTCGTGCGATATGTTGTGGAAGCATATCTCCCTAAACTTGTGAGCAGTGGCGGCATTCTTCTCGCCGGCGTTGCACAGCTTCGATGTCAGGATCAACGTCTCCCTGTCCTCGGGCGTGCCCTTACTGTCCCGCCTGTGGCGCCGGCGGTTCTGCTCCTGGATGGCCGCCGTGACAGTCTTGCTCAAACGCAACTTGGCGCACCGCGACACCATCTGCCGCTCCCATTTCACAGCACCCTTCGTCGGCACTTCGCTTATGATGCACACAGCCACGTATAATATCACCCTCGTCTCGGGGTTGTACGCTTTGCACAGCTTCACGACCTCCGTGTACAACTCGACGCCCATCTCGTTGGGCTGGAGAGACGTCCACTTCACGAATTCAGGCTCGCTTAGATATTGGAAGCCGTGCGTGACGAATTTTTCCGCAGCCTCAGGACTCGTGAAGAAGACTTTGACGACGCCTCGGCCGAGCGCCAGGTAGCCTTTGTGGGCTATCGTGCTGATTTGGTGCAGCGAATCGGCGTCTTCCTTGGCGGCAGCTATGATTTGTCTGCAGAGGGCGCTCGTGCGAGAGTGCAGGCAGACTTTTCTGTGCTTCTCCCAGTGCGCCCTTCGGCACTCCTTGGAGCAGTACATGGTGGTGCAGTTGTGGCAGGTTTTGTAGTGTCGTTTGGCGTCCGCGAGGGGAGCCCGGGAGGTGCACTTGGGGTATTTGCACTTGACGAACGCGTCGTCGGTGCTGTTGTCCGTTTGGAGGGAGGCGAGGGAGGTTTTGGAGTCGTGGTGAGTGAGGTGTGAGTCTGAGGGCCGGAGGGCGGCGGCGTCGAGGCTGGTGCGGCGGTCGCACGAGGCGCTGGGCTGCGCGAAAGGCTCGCTCCTGCGCCGGGAGCGCTCGCCCTGCGCGGACCGCGGCCGGCGCGACTCCTGCATCGCGGCAGGGCTATCAACTGTATCCTTGCCTGGAAAACGATAAACTGACTATTAGTTAGAACTCAGGACGAGGGAAAATTTTGAAGTCTAATTTTAAGACTCAGAACCATGTCAAGTATTTCCAATAATGCTTTTACACCAACTAAACGGGGACATGCTGCGGGTTCAGATCATGCAAAATAATATTATAAAAAAAGACAAGTAATAAACATCGATAACATCAAAAAACATCGATTAAACTAGAAGTAGATAATTTTGGACAGATAGGTAAATAATAAGAATTAGATTATCCAAATAGCAATGGTAATGAATAATGGAATCGTTATTATCAAGTCTGTTTTATTGTATCATACGAAGCAGTTTTTTTTACAGAAGGAAACCTACATTCTGTTAGCCTACGAGTAAGAGTACACTGCAGTGCAATAAAATCGGTCATGTTAAAAAAGTGGTAAGGTAATAAAAATTGGAACGGCTTGGACTTACATATCGTTCCTACCTGGTCGCTCGGGGCTGTTGTCTGTGACCGAGCTGGGGGCTTCGCTGGGGGTCCCGATGAAGCGAGAGGCAGGCGAGCTCGTGCTCGGCCCACTGCTTACCAGCTGCTCGTAGCGAGGGCTCTGTGTGGGGATTTATATGTCGGTACTTTCTGGGACTACTTTGACTAAGAGTATGTGTAAATATTGAGCGGTCTATGCTCAGTCTAGGTTTCATTAATTGATCTGCACTTCATCAAGGTTCGAAATAGGCGTTGACTTTACTTTTTTGAACTTTTTAAGAGCATGATTGTCATAAAGTACTTTCGTTTAGTTACCTACGCAATTTTTTTCAGACCATAGCATGATGCAAATGTGACTGTTGCATGTAAATAGGTAAACTATTTTAGTTCGTTTGATTATGTACTGAATAATGTATGTATGATTCATATTAGACTTTGGATAATGAACCCAAATTCCAAAATTCCTTTCAGGATTTAATTTTTATGATTTGAAAAGTTAAATTATTTGTATAGTATTATAAGCTGGTGATTATACCTTGCCACCCATCAAATAATATGGACTAGAGGCCTTCCTAGGACTGGGCTGAGGGGTTGGGATTCTGGTCGGCTGCGAAGGCAATCCCAAGAGCGAGTCCAGCACGTCTTCGAGCGTCGTGGACCCAGGAGACGGCCTAGCGATACCCAGGTTAAGGGGGCGCGTGTCTTGCCAGTCTGCAAATATACGCTCAGTTATTAATCTGGCCTTTTTACTTTTTTTTTGGGGCAAGAGAAGTATGCAAGCAAGAGACTAGTGTGGAAAAAGTTTCTATTTTCATTTTAAAATCTAAAAAAATGCCTACGTATGTTTTGTGTCAAATCAAAATAATGAAAAGCTTACTTACGCTCTCGTTAGTCACGAATTATTCTGCTATTGCGTGATTTATTAATTACCTGTTATATCAACGTGTGCATGTGATGACGCCACAAAAATAAAAATAAAACCAAATATAAAATAAAAAGAATATATTCAATAATTATTATAATTAAAACATTAACTAAAAGTACAATGATCGAAATCATAATAATTTGAAGACGTTTTTACACTTTTTGAGTCTTCGGATTATAATTTACACGGAAAGGTACCGAGATTCTAACATACAAATATATCGCTATATCTATCATCGTTACATTTTAGGTACATATACTATGTTTGGAATACGAAGATGTAGAGAGCTACGATGTTGTCTAAGAAGTGCCTGCAGTGTGTTAAAAAATAAAAATAAAACAAAAAAACTAATATTAAACGTTTAATCGTCGATTAAACATTCGATGCCCGATGGCGGCGTGTCGGCGGTGCAATTCATTGTTTCTAACCTAATCAGAACCTGTATAATTTACTTAGGAACAAACACAGTCCCAACATAAATTACGAGGTGATTTAAGTAGAAGGAGCTGGAGGTTCGAGACTTAAAGTCTGACGTGTCACTTCTCACCACCACATTCTCTTGGTTCTGATAACTGTTGCCTTATATATTGTATACATAACACAGGCATGTTACTGGCAATAACTACATATCGGTTTGTGACCCCTATTAAAGCTTCAGTGTGGTATATTTAAATAGTATATAAATGAATGAAAACCAATAAAATACGAAAATAATACACAAAATACGTTAATTTAGCACCTAAAATAAAATATAGCAACATATTATTTTTATTTACATCACTGTATTTACTAGCTTTAAACTAAAACTAAAGAATTTAAAATAAACACACAAACAAATAATTTACTCTGTACATTGATTGAAACTACTAAAAATATCAACTGGTTGTTACGTAAGATTTGAAGTTAAAATTATGGCAATATCACTAAATCAAAAATATATTCTTAACTATTGACTATTACGTTAAATTGTTTAGGTATTGAGGTGCCAATAACACTGATATGTTCCCATAACTTTAGCACTATTACTAAAATTTAATAGAATTTATAAGTATACAAACTTCATATTAGAAATGCATCAAAATAACATTATAATTGCATTGATGGTTACGCAATAAACTTGCTTCATACCCATTTGTCGGTAGTCAAATAGTTACCATAATAACTTCCATAATATTTGTACTGGTAACATTAACTTCAATCATAGTTAAACTTGCCAAATAAAGTAAAAAATAAATGATTTAGTGAAACACAATACATAAAATAAAATTCATCGGAAGCCACTACAAGCAAGTGCTCTTTATTTTAAAGCATAAAAGTGTAACACTTGACAAATGAACAAAAACATTGGGAGTCCAAAAATAGTGCATAAATGTCACAAAAATAATATATTATTCGATAAAATTATAATGGTCCTGAGTCTTAAACACAGTCTATAAAGCTCTATTACACATAGATTTCACAAAAAGAACCAATCGGTTTCAGCCCGATTGGTTCATTTCACAAAAGAACTAAATACACAGAACAGCACAAAAATTAACGCACAGAGTATTTAAACGTAACATAAAAATAACAAGTGACACAGCGGGTTCAGACTCTGACATAACAATAAATGCATTGACCGATTATTTTGCACCGAGTTGTACTATTAGTTAGCCGCTTCTCCGGTAGGGGCGCTATGTGTTAACAAATTGGATAGTTGCGCAACGTTTCTAAAAGAAGTTCATTTTATGAGTAAAATTGTAATTGTATTCAATTATCTGTAATCTAATTAGATTTTTGTAGTCGCTTAAATTGGCGAACCTGAACAATCATAGGTACCCATTTTATTAAAAGCTGTGACGCATCTGCATATTCAATCGATCCAAAAATCTAATTTACAGGAAATTCAAAACTCGGTTATCAGGGCTAAAATGAAGTGCTTTTGAAGAACGTTGGCAAACTATCCAACTGTTATCGGTACCGTCGGTAAGTAGCAAAGACACTCGCATTACCAATCGATGATTAAAATTTGTCTATCGATAGAACTGCCGACAATCGAGTACCGATCGACAATACTAATTGAATCGGTAATTCCTATCGATAGTACTACCGATATCTCGATAATACTACCGATATCTCGATAATACTACCGATATGTCGATAGTACTACTAATATATCGACCTTACTTCCGATATATCGATAGTACTACCGATATATCGACCGTACTACCGACAAATCGACTGGCAACTAGCCCTCACTACCACCGCTTTGGGAATGTGCCTAGGTCAGGTCTGAACCGGTGCGGTCCGGTCACGCTCGCTCACCCGGCGCGGCGCGGTGGTCGAGCCGAAGCGACGACGGCGGTCGCGGGTGCGGCGGCGGCAGCGCTTCGGACACCACTAGGGGAGTCTGTGGGGACTCCAGCGGTTTCGTACCTTGAAGGACAGAAAAAAACTGTTGAAAAGGAATTTGGCTTAAAAGGAGACTGTTCTAAGCTGACCTCAGGAGACTTTGATAAGCTATTTAAAGAATAGGTAGTCACATTTTTTAAATTCTTCTTTTATCGTATGGGGTTGTCACAAGTTGTCACAATTGAGGTCATAACCCTGGGATCTTCGAGGATTACATTTTATGAGCCATTAAAGACGTATGAAATTGTTCTATTGCCCAGCATTTAAGGCACAAAATGTCATCAATTTCGTAACCAAGCTAAGGATAATTACACAAAATATTTTTTCAACTGCATAATTATGCCTTTTTTGGAAATGTTCGAATCCAGGACCAGTCCGGATACTCATAGTCTATCTTTCTTACTGACCACTATTATCGATACGAGTAACAATCAAAGAGCTAGTCACTAAGGACATTGCCATTAGTATGAAACTGAATCTGAAGTCTTACGACTATTACTCTCATATAACCTTCTTATTTGGTGTTTCTGGTGCAGGGGTACTTTTACTCACCAACAAAAGAGCTCTCAAGCCAGTACAGCTTCTGACTGGAGCGCGGGGAAGGCTGCCGATCAATATCTCCGTTGGAAGGCTCCAATCCTGAGACGTAGTGCACGATGGCTGAAGTCACCTCCTTGATAGAGGTTTGGATCTCTTCGGCCGCCTTCGCCGAAGCAGACTGCTGGAGTAAAGATGACGCTAGCCTGGAATGGTTGAGAATGGTTTGTAAGTTGGAGTTGTGAAAGTTTCTTTGTCTTACGATTTGAAAAAGTGATACAACATTTTCCACCTTATCTAGTGATGAATTTAATTTGAATATCAAGCAAAACAATGTTTGATTGCAGTCACTAATAAGTACCTACACTTAGACCATTAATTTGTCTTCACTATCTGTACTCATCTGTCCCGAAAGTTTCCTGCTGCCCTCACTTTATAGTATCAACAGTTGAGTATTCAATCAATCAAAATTAAAAATCAAGTTTAGTGAATGGTAGAGCTAGGTCAGATTTTACCTGAATTGGAGGATAATCTTTAATCCAGGAAATAGCAACGTGTTTCTGTTACGATGTTGTCAAAATCAAAAGATTAAAAATGATGAAGATAAACAGTGAATCTAACTCTCACCTCTCATGCGGTGTCCGTGGAGTGTTATTGAGGCGTTCCTGACTCCTCCAGCCGAGGTACGGCTGCCGGGCGCTGAAGGAAGACCTGGTAGAAGGCGAGCAGAGCGGGCTCGTCCCGCGGATACTGCTGCGCGTAGATGAGCAAGGTGACGTCTGGAAAATGCAGTTAGGGGTTATAGAGTGGTGGCACTGTAGATCCTGGCTACACAGGAGTTGCAGTGGGAACGAGGATGGCAATAGTTCTGTTGTAGAGTGGTTATGGATGGAGCAAGAGATGGGAGAAATTAATTGATAACCAAGTGAAAAGGCTAGTTGTTCCATTGTAAGGGAACTTTAAAGTCTCCTCATTGTCAGTGTAGAGGCAAGACCTTCCTATTCTTTAGTATAACGGGCTCTTCCTCTTTGATTAATAAAATGTTAGTTGACGTTTGGTTTTCCGCAACAGCAGTGGTTTTCAACTTGCGTGGTCTGGAGTGAAGTAGGACTAGACCATTTTCCGATGCTGGTTCCAGAACTGAAGCGAAGTAGGACTAGACCATTTTCCGATGCTGGTTCCAGAACTGAAGCGGCGGAGAGTGGTGTTCGCTTTATTGGAATTGCTGAGAGATGTTGTCTACTAAAGTCCTTTACTCACTTTATTCGACTTGATTTGAATGAGCAGACGATAATCTACGGAAACTGTTCGTGTACGATGCAAACGAAGCGATGTCTCAGTGTTAGCTACATCGAGGTAACTGAAAGAAGTCTTCTACGATTCAAGGCTTGGTCTACTCACTTGATTCGAGTTAAGTCGGCTAGTAGACCACCTCCCGAAGCTGGTGGTGTGCGGCGGGAGCTCTGGCAGTGGCTTATCCTAGGTTTCATAGAGGTAGCTGCAAGAAATAGTCTTCTACGAGCGTCTTGGTCGGATTATCGGGTTCAAGCTTGGTCTACTCACTTGATTCGAGTTAAGTCAGCTAGTAGACCACTATCCGCATCTGGTCTTGTGCTCCTATGAGCACGGGTGTTGGGTCGGCGTTGGTTACATTGAAAGGAACAGTCTTCTATGGTTCAGGGTCTTGGTCTACTCACTTGATTCGAGTTAGGTCGGTTAGTAGACCACCTCCCGAAGCTGGTGGTGTGCGGCGAGAGCTGCGGCGGCGGCGGCTGGGCGGTGACGCCGCCCAGGCTGCCCAGCGACGTGGTCTTCGAGTTGAGGCCGCTCCATCGTGTCGCTGACGCTGATGCGTCAAGAGGTTGGTCTACTCACTTGATTGTAGTTAGGTCTATTAGTAGACCATCTTTCGAAGCTGAGAGAAGCGTGACTAGAACCTACCGGTGGCTCAGCGTTGGCCACATAGAAGTAGCTGAAAGGAATAGTCTTCTACGATCCAGGTCTTGGTGTAGACCAAGACAAGTGAGTATAGTCACTTGATTCGTGTGTTGAGACGAGTATAGGAGTTTCGAAGATTATATCGAGGTAGCTGCAAGAAATAGTCTTCCACGTATTTGGTGGAGTACGGGGCTTGGTCTACTCACTTGATTCGAATTAAGTCGGCTAGTAGACCACCTTCCGAAGCTGGTGGTGTGCGGCGAGAGCTGCGGCGGCGGCGGCTGGGCGGTGACGCCGCCCAGGCTGCCCAGCGACGTGGTCTTCGAGTTGAGGCCGCTCCATCTTGTCGCTGACGCTGATGCGTCAAGAGGTTGGTCTACTCACTTGATTCTAGTTAGGTCTATTAGTAGACCATCTTTCGAAGCTGGGAGAAGCGTGACTAGAACCTACCGGTGGCTCAGCGTTGGCCACATAGAAGTAGCTGAAAGGAATAGTCTTCTACGATCCAGGTCTTGGTGTAGATCAAGACAAGTGAGTATAGTCACTTGATTCGTGTGTTGAGACGAGTATAGGAGTTTCGAAGATTATATCGAGGTAGCTGCAAGAAATAGTCTTCCACGTATTTGGTGGAGTACGGGGCTTGGTCTACTCACTTGATTCGAATTAAGCCGGCTAGTAGACCACCTCCCGAAGCTGGTGGTGTGCGGCGAGAGCTGCGGCGGCGGCGGCTGGGCGGTGACGCCGCCCAGGCTGCCCAGCGACGTGGTCTTCGAGTTGAAGCCACTCCATTGTGTCGCTGACGCTGATACGAGTTAGAGGTTGGTCTACCCACTTGATTCTAGTTAGGTCTATTAGTAGACCATCTTTCGAAGCTGGAAGAAGCGTGACTAGAACCCGCCGGTGGCTCAGCGTTGGCCACATAGAAGTAGCTGAAAGGAATAGTCTTCTACGATCCAGGTCTTGGAGTAGACCAAGACAAGTGAGTATAGTCACTTGATTCGTGTGTGGAGAAGAGTATAGGAGTTTCGAAGATTATATCGAGGTAGCTGCAAGAAATAGTCTTCCACGTATTTGGTGGAGTACGGGGCTTGGTCTACTCACTTGATTCGAGTTAAGTCGGCTAGTAGACCACCTTCCGAAGCTGGTGGTGTGCGGCGAGAGCTGCGGCGGCGGCGGCTGGGCGGTGACGCCGCCCAGGCTGCCCAGCGACGTGGTCTTCGAGTTGAGGCCGCTCCATCGTGTTGCTGACGCTGATGCAGTTTGGGAGTTGGTCTTCTCACTTGATTCTAGTTAGGTCTATTAGTAGACCATCTTTCGAAGCTGGTAGAAGAGTGATGAGACCGCAAACGGTGGCTCAGCGTTGGTTCCATCGAGGTATCTGAAAAGAACAGTCTTCTACGATCCAGGGCATGGTCTACTCACTTGATTCGAGTTAAGTCGGGTAGTAGACCACTTTCCGCATCTGGTCTTGTGCGATAGGGGCACGGGTATTGGGTCGACATTAGTTACATTGAAAGGAACAGTCTTTTATGGTTCAGGGCCTGGTCTACTCACTTGATTCGTGTTAAGTCGGCTAAGTAGACCACCTTCCGAAGCTGATGGTGTGCAACGAGAGCTCAGGCAGGCCATCGTAGGTTCTATCTAGGTAGCTGAAAGAAAGTCTTCTACGATTCAGGGCCTGGTCTACTCACTTGATTCGAGTTAAGTCGGCTAGTAGACCACCTTCCGAAGCTGGTGGTGTGCGGCGAGAGCTGCGGCGGCGGCGGCTGGGCGGTGACGCCGCCCAGGCTGCCCAGCGACGTGGTCTTCGAGTTGAGGCCGCTCCATCGTGTTGCTGACGCTGATGCGTCAAGAGGTTGGTCTACTCACTTGATTCTAGTTAGGTCTATTAGTAGACCATCGTAGAAGCGTGATTAGAACACAATCAGGTAGCCCAGCGTAGAGTCCATCAAGGGAGCTGAAAGGAACAGTCTTCTATGCTCCAGGGCTTGGTCTACTCACTTGATTCGAGTTAAGTCGGCTAGTAGACCACCTTCCGAAGCTGGTGGTGTGCGGCGAGAGCTGCGGCGGCGGCGGCTGGGCGGTGACGCCGCCCAGGCTGCCCAGCGACGTGGTCTTCGAGTTGAGGCCGCTCCATCGTGTCGCTGACGCTGATGCGTCAGATAATCGCTTTCGGAGTAAAAAGCCCTCTCGAGGCGTTGGGGCGTTTTTATACCTGGAAAATATGACACATTTAAATGCCATGGGTTTTTTAAACAGCCCGTTAATCTCCTTGTGGTAAGCTAAACTAATTATGCTTGTTTTACGAGAGTGGGATCATCACAGTAGTCCAGGTTTCGAACCAGAGCTTCTATTTCCTCTATCTCGAGTCAAACAGTCGGACACCTTCACCGTTGTGAAGTGTCCGCTGTCCTATTGTCACCTCAAAAAGCTTTGACGTTTTTTATGACTTCGATTCTTCAGATAAATCGTTTGGTGATGTTATTTTAGATTAGGTAGAGGAGCAAAAATAGTTGTCTTGATAACAGCTTATCATAACATAAAGAATGTAGGTACGAGTACGAAGCATGAGTTGTTAATTATTTTGAATACATCCACAGTTTTGCATAAAATCGCGTTTAAATGCTAATTTTATACGAACACGCACAACGTGCGGTGACGGGCCACAAAATCACAAATTAGGTCCATTGTTTCAAATTTAAATAAATGTTTTAGTAGTCGTAAAAGAACGGAGAATTGACCGTTTTCTTTCCTTTCGCACTCATAAAAACTACTCTTAACTTGGTCAAGCTACTGGCGAAAATCTACCTAACTGAAGAAGGAAACAAGAAGTTTGAAGAGTGAAATTAGAAAAGGGTATTTTATAGTTCCAGCAGTGCCAACTAATTAACCCTAGTCCCTGGAGCGGTAGTTTAGCCGCTAAATACAATTAGTGCTGCTGATTACCGGCTGGACTCTCAATTGCCGCGGGCGTGGGAAACTGGGGATTAACTATCGTTTAAGGATTTGCTACACTGAATGCGTTTAGCGGCGGGCAGGCCAAAGTGAACGCAGTCCGCATCATATGATAGTCCAACGATTTTGAAACGTCAAGTGGCATTAATCAAAAACTACAACCCAGTAAAAAAATAGTAGCGCCCTCCTGAAAATTTCATATTTTATGGTTGTCCAACGTGGCAATAATCGGAACTAAGTAATAATCAGGGCATATATTACGCAGAACTGACGGCCGATGGGGCAGCAAGGTTCTGGAGTGGAGGCCACGTACCGGAAAGCGCAGCGTAGGACGTCCAACCACAAGGTGGACCGACGACCTCATAAAGGTAGCGGGAAGGCGCTGGATGCAGGCCACCACCAACCGGCCAATGTGGAAATCATTGGGGGAGGCCTATGTTCAGCAGTGGACGTCCTATGACTGAAATGATGATGATGAAGTAATAATCCAGTATTGATAGTAGCGCCTGAGTAATCCTGACTATGTCATAGCTAGCTTAGACGGTTCAATTTAGGTCATCTTTAACAACTTTGTCTTTGTAGACAGATTTCCTTGTCTTGACCGCTGACAGATTGTTTTGTCCGAACCAAATGTTGTTGTTCGACATTGGCCTGACCGCTACAAAACGCATCCAGTGTGGCAAATCCTCTATCCTTGATCGCGCGAGCCACCGGTGGCTACATCTGATCGACTTGAAATATACCTAATTTTAATGTAAATTTAATTGTAATGTAGTAAAGGTAATAATCCTACTAATATTATAAATGCGAAAGTTTGGATGTCTGGATGTTTGTTACTCTTTCACGCAAAAACTACTGAACGGATTTTGATGAATCTTTACAGTATTATTGTTTATAACCCAGAATAACTAAAATTTACGCGGGTGATGCCGTGGGCAAAAGCTAGTATGGTTGTATAGTAATCTACCAGTATCTAGTATAGTTTTTAAGTTTGTAAATTACCTGTACAAATGGAGCATTTAAAAATAAGAATGCAAGAATCAATTATATATTGGATTTACATAAATAAATTTATCTACCAGTATTATGTAGCTACATGGATATCAATTAAATTCTCTAATTTATGTATACCCGAAGGCTCATGGTTCGAGGAACAAACATATTATTTATTTATTTATTTATTTACACTTTTGCACATACATATGTACAGTGGCGGACTTAATGCCAGGTGGCATTATCTGCCAGTCAACCACAGGTCGAGTAGAGAGATTAAGGCGGTGTAATAAATATGACGTTTAATTAATATACCTACTTACATAGCATTAGATAAAATAGTAATTTATTTATTTATTCTAGGAAGACCAAGGTTTACATAGTTAGTATATAGTTCATTTTACAATTAGTAACACTTGATAACAACTTATAGATCCCCACAAATTTTCATATCATATCGCTTCAGCACCTATTGGGTCTGATTGTTATCAAGAGCTCATTTAAAAGCAAAAATGCTAAGTTGCAGTCGCATTAACATGAAAGTAATAAGCAAATTAGTATTCATTACCGTACAATATCGTTACAAGCAACTAGCGTGTGCAAAATACTATAACCCTAGTTCTTTAAAATTCTAGTTTAAACAAACTGATAGAACTTGATTCGTAAAGAAAATATAGCATCATTTTCTAACTAAATCTTTAGACCCTTCCTTATTAGCAGGAAATTAATTGCCCTAAATCAATCTCAATGGCTCATTGATCACGACATCAAGACGTAAAAATCGATCAGTCAACAGTCACAAAAGTCACCTCTGACAAAGACAAGTTAATTATCTACTTCTTGGTTTATTTTATTCAGTTCCTACATTGTTTCGAATAACATCTGGTATGGCCTTGGTCTAAGAAGATAATGGAAAATGATAGATTTAAAGCTATCTATTTTTCATGTAGTTTAGTCATAAAATTAACATACATGAGTTTGCCTTCACGTTTTCACGTCTTTAGAAAAAATTAAAGAGATTTTGTTAACTTTGGTACATACATAAAACCTAGATAATACTAATGTTATTCAAAGTAACTATTATAACGTAGACGAAATCACGAGCATTAGCCAGTTAAATAAGAAAAACCATACCTAACTCTCAGAAATATTGTTGACGTTCGTAAGATTTAATTGTTAGACAAGAGACGACAAGAAAGATTGTAAGATTGTAGACAAAGCAACATTTGTTCTAGATTTCGATTCGTTAAAGTGCTACTTGTGGCTACTTAGTGACACTGGCAACTTCTGAGTGACGGCGCTTAGTGTCATCATGACATAGGCCTCTTGGGAAGTTGGGATCCGTCTACCTAATGAGGCACTGCCACCGTAATCACCTCCTCAACCTTGTGCATTCTACGTGGCCCACATTAGTATAAAACCTATTCCCAAATACTTTGCACCGATAAAAATAATCGCACATAGTACTTAGCAGTTATTGTTTTATTTAAATGTTCGCATAGCCCAGACGTTTTTCTTATCACTGCCAGCTTTATCGTGTTTGGTGGATGACGATAAACTCTAGATGTTACATACTATTGCGAATGATGTCAGTGTGTCGATTATACATTAAATTAAAGATTAAAGTCGAATAAATACACTTTGAACATGCAGAGAGTAACAAAATGCATAATTAACTACTAGAAAAAGGTATGCAAAGAAAAAATACACTTTGTTACCGACAAATTAAAGATTCGAATCGAATACACAAGTATAGTTTGAGTTACATACATACACACATCAAGAATCAGAAAAGCCAGAAGAAATAATGAAAAATAATTAGAAAGACGAAATTAGTAAAATGATTAAAACTTCTTTAAAAGATCAAATTTTAATAGCGTAAAAAGCATGTGCTCTACATTATTTTGCCAATAAACGTGAATAAATTCTATGCCTATTACGTGGAATTTAAGGTTTAAATGTGATTCTGAATTTATGTAAAGAAAAATCTCTTACCATTCAGGCACATTGAGCTTCTGCAGCGATCTCTGTACCCGCAGCTCGTGCTCAGAGAGCACGCGATCAGAATTCTTCTGCAACTCGTTCTCTGGAGGCTGAAAAAAAAAGATCCGATTAATCACATTGAAACAAAACACAACAAAAAACAAAACATAATCGTTACCTAAATGTAGTGTTGTTGGCCATGTCACGTGAATGGTGTGGAAATGAAAAGAAACAATTCCATGATAAGTTTTATTGTGAAGTAATAATGTAAATAACAAAATACTTGCAAACTAGTTCTAAACTAAATTACCAAATCTATATCTACTGGCGCTAAACGATAAATGTTTCTGTTAAAAGAGCTGGCTGCTTGATTTGCTTTGTTTTCTGGAATTTTATTATCTTCCTCGATTTTTAAATCTCTCATTGATGATGAATCTGCCATTCCACCTTCTAATTGCAATGTTTGGTGTATTTTGTATACAGCGAATCTGGCATAACCAACTTCTTCGTCAACCTCATCCTCGTCCAACACTTCGAAAGATCGTACGTCACCGCAATGCGATCTACTAATAATATCATCTGTTTGCTTCAACGAATCCTCAGATCTTAAAATTGTATCACTCACTCCGCAGTAACTCATTATTTCAGACCATGAAGCCATGTGCTCAGATTCATTAGGGTCATTTATGGAGCCTACATCATTAACAGAATTCATATTAATCTCGTTCGACAATGAGTCAAACTCCATTTCACAAGCATCATTCAAAATATCACCACTTTCATCAGTAGTACTAGAACTGCGTGTTTCACTCGGAGCTGCAACTATCATATCTGATACCCCATAAATCGACTCATACCACGATTCAGGATATTCGAATTCAGATTTATTTGATTTCAAATTAAAAGTGACTTTCCGTTTTATCTTTTTCCACGTCGATGTACCAGCTGGTATTGTATTTTTTTTAGATTTAATTTCCAATATTTTGTCTTTTTCGAAGTCAGCGTAATCGGGTAAGTCTATATCGTCAAAACATGTGTTTTCCTTGGGCGGTTCGGTTATGGAACAGCTGATTGCGTTGTTTGAGCTTTCTTGCAAATCGTGCAGCGGCGGTGGAGGTATACTTTTTAACAAGCGTTCGAAAAAATGTCTGACTTTCTTGTCATCATCGGTCTGGCCGTGTGAAGTAATTTGGGGCGTTTGGTTCTCAGATAAATTGACTATGGAAGTAACTCTCCTTGATTGCTTGTTCAATGAACTGTTGCTATTCGCTGACTGAATACTGATGCTCAATTGCATTGAATTCCTTTTTTGTGCGTCGAATTTTCTGATACGTATTTTCGATCTCCATTCCCGGTGTTTGGTTCTAAATCCATTGAAGCTTATGGAATTTTCTCCTTCAGATTCACTGCGTGGTATATCAGGGAATTTCGTGTAGTAAAGGTCCTTCGACAGTGGTTTTGAATAAACATGTTCAGGTTTTACTTCCTCGAATGGCTCCAACTCTTCCGCGATCCACACACTGTCCAAACAATACCAGAATCCATTTCTTTGAAGCACCTCTTCTGTTGTCAGAAGCACTATTGACACCATTTTGCACAGAACTATTTCTTCAAAGTTGCAAATATTAACTGACTGAAAGTAAGCCGTGTGCTAAAAGTGATTAAAAAGTGGAAAAACTATTAAGAAATTAATGTTATTTGTATTTATTTGAAGAGATCAAAACATTAGTAAATGATAATGTTCGCAAACAAACAGTCATATCTCTAAGCCCCATTTAGCAATGTGCTAGCGGTTTTTATCACTCCTGTCAATTACTTATTATTTGCAAAAATATTTGCTTTATTAAAACCAATAACAAATTAAAGTTGTTCTTTGATTTGAAAATTAACTTTTTGACTGACCGTATGGGTATCGCAACTAAGTTAAAATGAGTTTTGGGACCTTGAAAGTTTGGGGGCGAGTGCGGATGATCAGTCGACTCACCCTGACGTCAGACGAGGCCAGTAACGCGCATGGGCCCAGGAGTCCTACACTCTCCCAGCAAGTCATTTCCACAGAGACGTGCACTCACTAACTCTGTCCGCCGCACTATCACAACCAACGCGTTATCGCATACTTGCACCAGTGACTCCGTAACACTAGGTTACGTAAGTCATATCGCACTCGACATCTAATCAGTTTTAATTTTAAAAACATATAAAGCCGCTACATTCAAAGCTACAGCCACCATGAGGAAGTGAGGAAGCAAGCTGCTACGTCGAAGCGGAAAGCGTCGCCAATCAAATGAGAATAACGTTGCTTATTGAACGATAAAATCCAATTACGAGGCTGAATCGGAGCGACCGCGGGGCTTCGGAACTTAAGGTCGCTCTGGTCGGGGCCGGGCCTGCGGGTGGGTCTGGCATGCGGGGCTCGTGGTGGACTTACGGGGCCACTGCGGGTGCCCGCATCGTGGTGCATGGGGCCGGGAACAGGCGGCCGCGGCGCTGCCTCCCGCCAGACTGAGGCGCGGCGCGTGTCCTTGGCTCTCGCGCGTGCGCCGTACCTACACCCTTTACTAAGTTTCTTGTGCCTTCAACAATGCGAGCATTCTAATGGTACATCTTCTCCGCTAACAGCTTTGTCTTTGGCTATCACTAATGCAAGCCGGCGCGCGACTTTCTTCTGTTTTTGAAACGCGAGTGTCAGCTTTTGAGCCGCGTGTCGTCTTGAGACAAATGGTATCGACTTTTACCGAATTGGCAGACGTGAGATATGCTGTTTGATGATTCTTCTTCGCGATTCGCAAGTCGTGTTTTGTTTCAGTGCGGGGTGTGGCATTGCGTGACACGTCTGACCCCGTGTAACCTCTCTAATTAGCTAAATTACGGTCTTGAACATAACTTGTTTAATTTACAACGCACGATGTCAATGTTTCGGTTTTTATGAACTGTAATAATTTCAGGAGGTAAATGTACCTTTGCCGCTGGGGTAGTTTCAGTTGATATGTAAGGGTATGGGACCATGACCTACATACGTCAATGCGTGCTTTATATTGTATGATATTGGCTCTACGTGAGAGCACAGACGCTTAATGGATATTGTCCAATGGATTTTATCAAAAGGCGGTTTTAATGGAACGTGTGGTCGGATTAATAGCTTTTTGGTAATGTTCATTTGAGTGGTTTATCGATATTATCTGCAGGTTATAAACGGAAAATGTTTTGCTGTTATATGAATAATGATAATGGTAAGCACCTATTATGGCTGAATGATATAGTACTTAAAAGTATGCCAGGATACTTTTTACCCTAAAACCAACATTTTAATTAATGAAATAATTAGAAAAAAAGCTTTTACAATATAAAAAGCTAGTACGAATTTATTGCGATTAACGATTAATTGCAATAACTAGACAAAATAAGGACTAAACAATAATAGAGCATAAAAAACTACGCAAAGCCGGGGCAGCTAACTAGTTTTCGTGAGATAAAGTTTATTTTCACGTAAGGCCCAGTTGCGTCGTTAAGAGCAAACTCAAGGCGTGATGTTTGTAACCACATCAAATATTTACTAGGGCTGGTGTTTTGTCACAAACCCTCACGTGACAAGAACTCTATGGCCTGTTTAAAATAACTCTCAAGTTCTAATCTACACTCAAGATCTTAGCTATATTTTTGGGCTTGAGTCCTTACTTAAGCCCAAAAATCCCTTGATCTGAAAACGCCTACATAGGTATTAATTAATAAAGAATTTGAATTACGCTTGTGATTCGTCTAAGCATCGAATTTCAATCGTAAAAATTTTGGCGATATTTTTAATCGCTTTATTAAGGTATTTAAATAAGTATTTGATTTGATATGATTTGATATTGACTCTTGACGAAAATGTCAAAGTTCTTTTTTTCGCAAAAAAAAAACGATAGATTTTTTAAAAATATGGGATAAAATACTTTAATTACATTCAGCAACTGAAATATTTATAGTGTACATGTAATAAGCATTAGGTAGATAATGTCATTCGACATTGTAAAAGAATGACCTATCCCAATATTCTTACCATAAGCATTGAGGAGAAATGGAGAGAGCAACTCCTAAGATAACAGCGTTGTATGTGAACCTGAAAAATACTAGAGAGTGCAAGTCCTCTTAAAATGTCGTAAGTATTATGATGTTCATCACGCAACGATCACAACACTTTAACGAGGAACTAGACATCCCTATTGCAATCCACGGGCCTAATCGTGGAACGATTCCATTGCAATTTGCTCTATCCTGGAAATCTGTTATCAGGAAGGTCGTTACGTGGCCGTCAAGCGTGATCTTCCACGTCCTATGACGGAATTGATGATGACTGAAGACTGCAGTTTGCTAACCAATGTAGTGAAGTAAACAGGATGGAGAATTTAAAAAAAGAGGATGGAGTAAGAATAAAGTATTTATTGATATTTTGAATTAATAATGACTGAATATAAGAAAAAGTTTTGGTTTTAGTTCGCAGGGACGCACTCTCTTAATAAGTGCTAATGCTTGCCGGGTGCGTTAAACACTACGCTGGCTCAAGTTAAATCTCTAAAAATTCTTGATAATAAATTATCACAGTGGCGAATATTCGTGAAAAGATATAAATTAATATCAATTTTATATTTAGTCACTTTAGCTATGTACTATTTAAAAAGAATTACCTATAGGATAGGTAAGGCTGAAGCCTAAATCATGTTTTAAAATATTAGACCTTTCAAACTTCAGATTCAGGGAGGTATTTTACACAAAAGCATGCCTAAACTTTCTAAAATAAGTGCCCACATTATACTTTATCAAGTTTCATCGTGACAGAACAACTTTGTGAGGCGTCTCCATCGAAGATTGGATAACTTGAGAGCTTCATTTGATCGATTTTCCGAGGAATTTTCCAGCGCCGATAACGTTCTGTCGGAAAATTTTGTTACGAATGCGAAACGCAGTCGTGATTTCATTTCGCAATAGGTATATTGGATGGTTCAAGATTGATTTGATGTTTATTAATATCTCTGTGCGTTTACGGAGGCGAATATTACGTCACAATACGTCCTACGCATCTTATTTTAAGATAATAAATGTAGTAGCTAAAAGTGTAGTAAACAAAATTACTTGTTTACAGTACACTAAGCTAAATTACTACATCATAATATATAAAGGTTTATTAGTTGATAATTTTAAGCTAATTTTTGACCCAAAAACTGGATTTTGTTAATAAAAAGTGGAATATGGATGAAAATGGACTTTAAATAAATAATAAATAAATAAATATCCTTGGACATTTTACACTGCGCTTCTAGTCCCAAACTAAGCAAAGCTTGTACTATGGGTACTAGACAACGGATATAAACATACTTAAATACTTTTTTTTTTTTTGTAAATACATACATATTATACATAGAAAACACCCAGTCCAATACAAACAAATATGTTCATGCACACAAATGTTTGTACTGTGCGGGAATCGAACCTGCTACCTCCGGAATAGTTGTCCGTTTCGAACCACTACACCAAACGGCCGACTTTGAAACGTTTTGAAACTCATTTTTTAATGCCATGCTTTTCTATGACTGTTCTAAATACATCAGTGAAGTCACTGGCAGGAGTTAGCCTTAAATATCATAAAGTCTAGTTATCGTTTACCACCGCTGCAACACAGGGTGTTAATGAACACAATTCGCGCCTTCCTCCGCTAATGGCGATGCACTAATTGTGGCCACGTGATAACACACTGACGCAAGATGTCCTCTTACGACAATAATATTTGTGTAACTTTGTAATAATAAATAGTTCTTACAGTCATTAAAGGAATTGTCAAAAACTGCAACTGCTTGATAGAATCGTACCAACGATTACTGAATTGGAAATGAAGATTAACTTCAAATTAAAGGCCACTATTAGTGGATGACGAGGTCGAATCGTATCCAGGCAATCTTCAATCAATTCAACCGGCCAATCTAGAAACCATTGGGGGAGGTCTGTCTGTGCTCAGAAGTAGACGATCTATAGCTCAAATGATGATGACGATGATGAAATCTTGTTAGCTATTAGGTTATTAGCTCAATTAGTGTGTTCAAAACTTAACCTCGCTTTTAATTACCAAATAAAGATTTTTAAAACCAGTCATTAAGGACACTTTTCGGTGAGCTCTAATATGTTTAGCAGTGGACGTCCTATGGCTGAAATGATGATGATGAAGTAAGTATTTTTACATAGGTATACTTAGGTATTGAAATTCAAACAATCGTAACCTTTATGATAATGAATAAGCTTGGTTTCAGGCGGGTTTTCAGTGAGTCTTTCATATTTACACATCTTACTTCACTTACATAATTATTCCACCAGATGGATCGCTTCATCAACGCAAATTAGCGCCGTACAATAATTGTAGTGACGCGCATGTCATTCATCATTATTATTACAATTTATTAGTCACGTTTTTGTTTTACGTAACATGAGGATAAAGGAAAATACGAGTATCTATGTTTGAAATTGGATTGGTAGTAGCAGATCAAGTTACCGGTATTGCGTGAATAGTTTGAAGTTGAAGCAATGAAATGAAAACTATGTATTTCAGAGCAAAAAAGTCATTTTTATGTTAATTACATTACTTCTTTCGGTAAGTTTAAAAGTGTTTATT